CGACCGCTTCCCGCCGGCTGCCCCTCACCGTTCGAGATGTACACCATGGCAGCGGGTCGCGGGCACTGCCTCGTCACCCGCCCTCGGCCCCACTGCGCGGGCGCGAGCGGGACGCGCATGCCCAGAGCCTGCCCTGGGATCAGCTCCTCGCTTCCGGCTGACGGGGCTGAGGGGGAAGGGGCGGTGCTGGAATGGCGGGGGTGCCGCTTCCCGCCGGCTGCCCCTCACCGTTCGAGATGTACACCATGGCAGCGGGTCGCGGGCACTGCCTCGTCACCCGCCCTCGGCCCCACTGCGCGGGCGCGAGCGGGACGCGCATGCCCAGAGCCTGCCCTGGGATCAGCTCCTCGCTTCCGGCTGACGGGGCTGAGGGGGAAGGGGCGGTGCTGGAATGGCGGGGGTGGTGGCGGTTGCGCTTGGTTTCCTTTCCACAGCGAGCGCGGTGCCGTGCAGCCCATTGTTAACGCGGGTTCCCCCCCAGCAGCTTCGCAGCCGGCCTGAGGCGAGCGGTGTTCAGGTGGGGCCTCTCCTCCCTCAGAGCCGACGGTTCTGGTTCCCTCCTGAAATGTGTTTATTTTAGTATTTACACCGCTGTATAATGCTGTGTCGGAGCTTCCATGTCGTATCCGATAAGCGTATGGTTTTACCGACAGTTCCAGAAAACAATAACGATAATTAGTAGTATGCCAGGGTAGGTTTAATAAAAAGTACATGTTCCTGGTCTTCCGTAGTTAACTTCTGCTGGATGTCACATGAAAGCTAGTGCTTTTGTCCTTTATTACCGCCTCAAGTTTCTTTAGTTTCTTCAAGCCATAACTCACTGTAGTAATGTTAGAAATACGACCAAATGACTATTTACAACTTCTCTCCAAAGGGAACTTCTGTTCCTTCTATATAATGACAGGTATGTGGCTGTGTATATTCTCATTGAATTGGTGGGAATGTTCAGCCCAAAGCTGAGTATTTGTTTTAATTTATTTTATTTTTGTAAAAACTTTACCCTACAAGCAGTGGCTAACTTCTTCTCATGGAGAATCTGTGTGTGTAAAAGTGAAGGTAACATTATAGCTATATAGGCAAATTTAATATAATGTTATCTCTCTTTTTTAAACTAAACTAATAGAGAAGGAATGTGTAATTCTGCTGGGAAACAGCAGTAAGAAAAACTAATATAAAAGTATTTTAAAGCTACCTTTGCAAGACCTGTCTTTTCCTAGTAGCTATGAGGTAAAATCTTAACACAAGAGTGTTCTCTGAAGTTGAAGTTGCAATATAGTATCTCTGTTCTACTTGTAGTTGTCCCCTAGTAAAGAAATTGTTTGCAACTGACAGGTGTTTAAAAATGTTTGATGTTCCAGAAATAAACTCTTTCTGAAAACTGAAAGCAATTGTGAAAGAAAAGTATCTGTAACAACATACATAAAATAAATATTTATAATTGATATGAGAGCTAGGTCATCTACCACTCAATAAATGGGGAAACACAAAAGCATTTAGAAAATAATAGGTGCTACATAGTGCATAATGGATATAAATGAAGGCAGAATGTTAAAATTATGCAGGGAAAACATCTTTTTCTTAATTATTATATTTAATATATTTGTATTTATTATTGTTGTTGTTATTAGTATTATATTTCTCATGATTATTTCACATAATAGTCAAGTGTAGACTGATAAATCTCAGTTTACAAATTGCAAAACACAGCCTATATAAGTATAGAAGAAAAACAGAGATTCAGGCAGTAAATAATTTGAACACAGTTTTTAGATTCTCAGTGAAACCAGATAAATGGAACAATAAACTTGTGTACTTTTAATTTGTGGAATGCATGGTAGATCTCATATCATGTGCTGGGCAGTCACTGGCGCGTATGAGCTAAAAGTTAACATACATGCCATTTGGAAACTGGGAAGATGTGATTGTTCTGATTGTAGGCAAAGTAAATATCTGTACAGTGCTATGAGGAGTAGTATAGACCATCTGTTAAGGTAACTAATTGAAAAAGACGAATGCTTCATTTTTTTAATAGCAATCTGAACTCTCAATGGGATTCCTTCTGGTTATGAGTAGTTTAGTTTTTTCGACTCTGTTCCAGATGTAGATTTGTATAGTTTGATTCCTTGTAAATTGTGTATTTACGTATCAATACCTAAGTACTGGGATCCAACCAATGGATTAATGTGCTTTAGTAAATTATTCTATTTTTTCCGTCAAAACTAGCAAAACTATGGGTCACCTATTTTTATAGCATTTTATATACCATATATAAAGAGACAACCTTTTAGTTGTGATACAAGAGAATTAGAAAATATGCATAAAGAGGTGGTGATACAGCATGAATGCTTTGTATTCTTTAAAACTTATGCTACATTTTTAACATGACTGTAAGCTTTTAAAGATGTAGTAATGAATTTACCTGTCCTGAGGAGGAATTGCAAACTGTTGACCACATTTGAATAGCAGAAATATAAAAGGCATCTCTATTTTTTTCCCCAGCCTATAGTTTTTTCTCATAGTCATTATCATGTTGCACAATCACATATTTTGAATGGAAACATTCAAGCTTAGTTTGGACTCGAATTATTCATAAAATAGTTGACTGTCATATAGTATTTGTCTTATGCACACACAATACTTTATGTATTAGAATGAGAGAGTCTTCTAAACTCCAAATTACAAATGTAGAATATTCATTGCATCATAAACATAAAATTCAGAGGCTATTTCACAGGATTCTATTTTTAAAGAGCTTTTATAAGAAAAATTAATTTGCTGTTTGTGGAAGAGCTGAAACTCAGTTCTTGGAACTAAATTATGTTGATTTAATGTCAGAATTTTAAACAGAACTTACCTGTATAAGTAACCTTCAGTTCTGAAGTTCTAGATGATTTGGTAGTGAGGTGGGTTGTGAACTGGTTGAAGGAAAGAAGTCAGAGGGTTGTGGTCAATGCGACAGAGTCCAGTTGGAGGCCTGTATCGAGTGGGGTCCCCCAGGGGTCGGTACTGGGACCAGTTCTCTTCAATACATTCATCAGCGACCTGGACAAGGGAACAGGGTGCACTGTCAGCAGGTCTGCTGATGACACCAAGCTGGGAGCAGTGGCTGACACTGCAGAGGCTGTGCTGCCATTCAGAGAGACCTGGACAGGCTGGAGAGTTGGGCAGGGAGAAATTTAATGAAATTCAGCAAGGGTAAGTGTAGAGTCTTGCATGTGGGAAAGAACAACCCCATGTACCAGTATAGGTTGGACCAGCAGAGGGGAAAGGGACCTGGGAGTCCTGGTGAACAGCAGGATGGCCATGAGCCAGCAATGTGCCCTTGAGCCAAGAAGGCCAATGGCATCCTGGGGTGTATCAGAAGGGGTGGTTGTAGGGCAGAGAGGTTCTTCTCCTCCTCTGCTCTGCCCTGGTGAGACCACATCTGGAATATTGCATCCAGTTCTAGGCCCTTCAGTTCAAGGACAGGGAATTGCTTGAAAGAGTCCAGCGCAGAGCCACAAAGATGGTGGAGGGAGTGGAGCATCTCCCTTATGAGGAGTGGCTGAGGGAGCTGGGGCTCTTTAGCTTGGAGCAGAGGAGACTGAGAGGTGACCTCATTCATGTTTATAAATTTGTAAAGGACGAGTGTCAGGAGGAAGGAGCCAGGCTCTGCTCTGTGATGTCCAATGCCAGGACAAGGGGCAATGGGAGCAAGCTGGAGCATAGGAGGTTCAACCTGAACATGAGGAAAAACGTTTTTACTGTGAGGGTGCCAGAGCATGGCCCAGGCTGCCCAGAGAGGTTGTGGAGTCTCCTTCTCTGCAGACATTCAAAACCCGCCTGGCCGTGTTCCTGTGTGCCCTGGTCTGGGTGATCCTGCTCTGGCAGGGGTTGGACTGGATGAGCTTTCAAGGTTCCTTCCAACTCCTAACAGTCTGTGATTCTGAACAATTTATTGCAGACATTTTTTTTCCCTTTGGTGCCCCAGAGAAGGATGTATTGATGTACTATGGAGTCTTAGTTAAAGTTATCTTGTGCAGGTTTCAACTGGAAGACACATTTTGCAAAATCAGCAGCTCTAATCTCAGCATAAAATCAGGTCAGGAAAATAAGCACAGAATTCTGTGAACTATTTTTCTGTCCTAGCTGAGACAGCGACTAGATGTTCTAGTAATAGAATTTTTCTGCAAGTTTTTTAAAAATACCATTTGTTGATACCTGAATAACAAACATGATGAGGCTTTAGTGCAAATTTACTACAGTTAACAGTTTGAAAGCAAATCTGTGCTGGGGGAATGCTGAAGGACTGTCTTGTGCTTTTATATTTCTTTAGATAACAACATATTATGTACAGAAAGCCATCACTGTTTGTGTTCTTCTTAAAACCAAAGACTTCAGCCCTCAGTAAAATGAAATCATTGGTCCTCAATTTAAAGTTACATGAGAGTCAAGAAAGAAACTTCCACATCCCTCTACACAGGGTGAATATTGTGCTAAATTTTCTGTTTAGGGAGAAAAAGAGCATGTTCAGTAGTTGGTGAAGCTGCCTGACCACAGTGAAGAAATACCCATCTTTCAGGGTTATTGAGTGGTGGTGATACTTTGAACATCCATCGGGTGGCAGCATCAGCGCGAAATAACGCTATCTGCTTGTTTAATTGCTCCGCAAACTTTCCATCCAGTTAGTCGTAACATATTTGCATTCTTTTCTATATAAAGTCCTTACTCCAATGTCACTAGACACATAGGTAATGCGTGAGTGGGCAAATGCTTTCTGCATTAAGGACCAGTGTTAAATTGAAAGATTGGGGTTTTTTTCAGTTGGTTAGTTTTGGCTTTGTTGTTTTTGTTTTTGTTGTTTGGTTTGTTGGTTTCATTTCCCTGTCCCACAATTAGTATGGGTAGAAGCTGACAACTCTGCTGTGGAATTGCAGACTTCCAATTTTGCTAGTAGTACCATTGGCAATTTTTTGGTATAAATGAAAAAATGTGATCATAATTAAGTGTTGATAGTTAGCTTTTGAAGTATAGTAGGTAGGAAAAATAACTATCCTCAGATGGGCCAAATGAAAATTAAAACTGCATTCTCAAACTTATTCTGCAAGTTAGTGGCAAAGCCTGAAATGGAACTGACTTGCTTATTCTTACACCTGTGTTAATTTCTGGAGGATAGGCTTGCATCCATCAGATAGAGGAGACAAAAGCAATCTTAGACTCTTTTAGTATTCTGGTTTAAGGCAAATATCCTTTGCCTTGTTATGCTTTCTGCTAATACATGAGAATCTGCTTTGTCGT